ACCATGTCTCCAGCACAGTCACCTGGTGTGCATAGCCTTCTGAATTTAAGAATGGTTATGTTTTGTGCTTTTACTTTTATGTGTCAAATGTTACTTGGTTCTGTCATCTTTCCCTTTGGCTAAGCCTGTGGTGCCTTTTGTCATTATCTTCTCTGCTTTTTCTTCCTGAAAATGAATAAATGACTCTATAACTTGAACCTACTTATAATATAGCAACCAACTCACCAACTTGGAAATGAATTCTACACTCAGCAAATAGGATTCGAGCAGAAAAAATAAAGAAAAACCTTCAAATTATTAGGAAAGACCACTGACTTCAATGCCTGCATCTATTTCTGGTTACACACTTCACTCTCAAACCATTTGAGGCAAACTATGAAATCAGGTGGCAGTGGTTTTTGTTCTGTTTCTATTTCAAAGACTAGATGTAACCATTGAGCCTGGGGATACTTTCCAGATAGTTCTTCACTTGGTCTAATTTACATGATCTTGAATATGTTTTACATTAAAACTTTGCTATTTTTATGATCATATCCTTTAGCAAGTGGGTTTACTGTTTTAAGAGGTAAAACTAAACCTTAGTAAGTAATGAGTTTATTAATACTTTTCAGTTTCTTGGACATCTAAGCTATTGTTCTACATTAATGGTAAAATAATTGGATAAAAGTTATATTGTTATATGGTCCCACTTTTGAAAAAAATTCTTAAAAATTGTTATGAAACAATAACATTTGTTCAGTTTTTCTGCTTTATAGGCAAGCAACAGTACTTTTTAAGATGTTCATTTTATTTCACTTTCATGGAATGCAAAACTGTGTAGATTTTGAAAGTAGTGTGATAAATGTAAGTGGCAGACTTGTATGAGCTTGTGAGAATTAATTGCCTGTTGTCTAACTGTAAATCCAGAAATTGTTAAAAAAGATTAGGGTTTTTTTTTTAATGGCATCAAATTCAATAGAAAAATCTTCATGAAAAAAGTAATAATGTACTTGTCACTCCTCTATTATTTTAAGGATAGTGATTTTTGTCTTAGGATATAAATTGGATAAGGCCAAGTTTAAGACTTATTTGTTCCTAAATAAATTCTTAACATGTATAATCTAGATATTTCCGTGTGTGGTTAAAAACTCCTTCCAAACACTTTAAAAGAGCTTGCAAATCAGATAAACACATAATGGTGTTGCTTTTTTGTTTTTAAAACAGGAATAAAACAAAAATGATATACAATAAAATACCTATGTGCCTTAAGTTTAGGTTTCTTAAATATGATGTTCTTTTCTCTTAAGGCTCTTTTCTATCAAAAAAGGTTTTAACAGTTGTTTTGAGAATAGTCTGAAAAAAAGTTTTGAAGCTCTGTCCTATCCAACCAGTTTATTGAAAATGACTTCATAATTGCCATATTTTGGTTTTCACCTTCTTTGATCTTTTTTTAGCACTTTGTGCTTCGACCCCTTCTGCTTCCCTCTTCCCTTGGCTCAGTGATTATGACTCAGGATGTTTCCATCTTATGTCCTTGATTGCTGCTTTTCTGTTAAAGAATCTTCCTATCCACATTTGAAATGTGTTGTTACCTGACATTCCTTAAATAGATGATGAAACCACATCTATGTTACTCCCTCCCTGGAATCTCCGTAGCTTATTTGCTTAAGTTTTATCTGCTACTAGGATGGCAAATTCAGCAGCCTACTTGGACAGTGACCCAAATAAATTTAAAAAAAAAATCTAAGTATTTAAAAAAAAGGGCAGCATAAAAAAAATACTGATTTTTCAAAGTGAAAAAGAACACATCCTATATAAACTATGTACATGACCCAACCTCAGTTGCTTTGGAGGAATGAAGGTCTAATGCTCATTCTTCTTTCCTGAACACTGCTGCTATGTTTACTTTGTGCCCAGCATGCAGGTGTTAGAAATAAAGTAATAAATTAGAAAAAGATACCTCCTCTCCTGGAGCTGACACCAGTCTGGAGATGTGTGTCTTCATGGAGTCCCATTAAGACTAATGCTATTTAGGGGGCTCCCTGGTGGTGCAAGGGGTTAAGACACAACTTATGAAGCTATCTGCAGCCACTGCAGCATGAGTTTGACCCCCGGCCAGGGAGATACCCACATGGCACAGCAGACCTCATCCACTGCTCCCCTCATCAGTGTATTTCAGTCAATCTGACTGTTCTGTTCCCCACTCTGTCTCTGGTGAATCCTCTCCACCTCCACCACCCCTGTACCTCTAGCCTGTACCCCAGTTCTTCTATGTATAAATAAATAAATCCTTTTTAAAAAGACTATTGATATTTAGTATTACAGGGACTGCAATTTTTTAAGCCAGAAATCTAGATTTTTGTGTAAAATTTTACCTTTTATTGACTTTATTCAGATAACACCTGTTAAAATTGTGCTTACCTGTTTGCAACATTGCCTGACAAAATAATAGTCTAGCATTTGACATCTGCTCACCTACACCTATTTTTCCAGCTTGATTTCATCTACTCCTTTGTTTCCGTCCTCTATTCACAATTGACCGCGCCTGGCGCCTTCTTTCTTCTATTACATCTTAAGTATTGTGCTTCGCGCTAGAATGCATTTCCACTTTCCCCCTTCCACCCCTGGTCAGTCAGTACTCATTGACAGCCCGAATGTTTCTTGTAAGATGACTCTAATCTCACTGTATAGAATTACTTTCACCATGCCAGTATTCCACAGAGTGTCCTGCATATTCTCATTAGAGCACTCACCCAAGTGTTTTATGGACCCTGAGCTCAAAGAAACTATAGTTTCATCTTTGTATTCTGAGACTCTAGCACAGCACTTTGCATCAGGTCAGTGTTGCATGAAGACTTGTAGAATGACTGACCAGATCTGAAATCTGGCTCTCTTCAAATTTGCAGTGGTGGTAACCTACATCACATAGGTTTCATTCCCAAGCACAGAACCAACAGACACTCGATGAATAGAAGCTTTGTTTCACAAGTAAACAATCTTAATATAAAAGTACCCTTTGATTTAAAGTGCTGGTAATCAATTTTGTACCAGGTATATCTGAAATAACTACTTAGGTTGGCTCCTGGCCCCACCCCTGGCAGGTGCCAGTACACACTTACCCCAGAACTGCTGGAATGTTATACTGGCTGACTGGTGCATTTGTAATTAATGACAACCTCACACTTGTTATATGATGGAGCAGAACTACACTCTCCCTTATATATCTGAGATTTCTTATTGATTGATTCCTAAGGTAATGTTAAGTGGTATGTGTGGGGGTGGGGCAAAATAATGCAAGAGAGATATGAGGAGCAGACTTTCTTGACTGGCAACTGTGGATCAGCAATATTCCAGGCACTGCACACGTGCCCTCCTGTTTTTTCTTTTTTAAAGCATCCTTGTTAGTTGGATGGTATTTTGCTCAATTTAAGGTTGAGGGGAATGAGGCTGAAAGGGGTCAAGTTATGTGTCCTAAGAATTCTAGGTACTTCTTTAGAATGAAGGTTTGTAAGTGGAATTAGTTTATTATTTATTTTTGATCTGCTTCAACAGGTTGTCTCTACTGTGAACTCAGTACTGCACAGAATGTATTATTATTTTTAATTGTCTGGTATCTGCTGAGTTTACATCTACCTTTAAATTTCTTTTAAAATCTGCCAGTGGTTCTCAACCATGTCAGATTTCCTTTTTAACAAGTTATGTGACATCCTCTTTAGAATTATGAAGTACAATTCAAAAAAGTCATCATCTACTTTTATGTGAATTGCTAAATAATTAATAAAGTGACCTGCTTGCTTTATAAAGCTGAAATAATAACAAAATAATTTATATTAAAATAATGTATTTCAGCACATAAGCACATCAGCACTTCACATTAGAAAAATGACAGGAAATGTCAGGCATGTCTTTCTCTTAAGTAGACTCACTGTGAATGTGGCAGGGGTAGATATAGGCTAATATATATGTTTTAATTGTGATGCGATGATGTAAACAATGTTCCTATTAATGATGCATTTTTTCCAAAATAGCAAGTAAATCTTGATTAAGTTCCAAAGTATAGAAACTTCATTTAATTTATTTAATAGTTAAATTTCTGGAAAACTTGGCTTAAATTGGATGAGCAAAAATATCACCAAAAATGAATGTCCAGTAATTGTTTGAAAGACATGGAATACATGGGACACATGGTCATTTATAGGTCTTTCTGTTGCCAAACACCCATATACCCTGACATCTCCTAGTGCCCCCCTCACCCCTGTTGTTGAGACACCCTAAAATGCCTCTACACAGTTCAAAAACATTTTAAGGTGCAATACTGATGTCAATGATAAAGTACCACTGATCTAAACCTTCCAAAACCAAAGCTGATGTTTTTAAAAAAATTTTAATAGGGTTGATGGTCTGAAACTAATGGGCTATATACCAGGAATGAAACCTGGGGTAAAACTGTCATGTCCAGTTGGAAATTAAATAGAATAGTGCATTAATTCAGTCTCAGATATGATTGCGCAATACAAATTATTTAAGTTTTCAGATGACTAGCAAATTTGGAGTTTGTAAACAGTATAATGGGAGAGCTTGGAAGACTCATTTATTTCATTGGGAATGTATTGTTAGTTGTATATCATCTCTGGAATATTGGATTATATTTACACAGCCAAATTTGAAATCAAACAGTGGTCCCTATCATTTTATCTCTGGGCATGGGATATTTTGTTGTTTTCTGTTTTTGTTTTTGTTTTTTTTTCATTTAGTGAAATTTTGATTTACCATTGATTTATAGTTCTATATAAATTTGGGGGTTGCATCGTCACCTCTGTGTGTGTGTAGACCTCACCTCACCCACCAGCAGGGCACTAGCACCTGTCCCAGTATCTGAAGCATGCCCTCTGCCCTCTGCCCTTCCCTCCCATCCTTTTCCCCTCCCCATTCTGGTAACCACTATATTGAACAGGGAATTTGAATCACCAGCATAAAAGATGATAATTTTTTTGGTCTCTTTTCTTTTTGTCTCTTTGCAGGTATGATTTTGTAGAAGTTGAGGAACCCAGCGATGGAACTGTATTAGGGCGCTGGTGTGGTTCTGGTTCTGTGCCAGGAAAACAGATTTCTAAAGGAAATCAAATCCGGATAAGATTTGTGTCTGATGAATATTTCCCTTCTGAACCAGGGTTCTGCATCCACTACAACATTGTTGTGCCAGTAAGTATCACTTAGTGATCCCCTTATTGGCATGGGTCAGTGGGGTTACTGCCATCCGGGCATTCGTTGAGCCATGTGTCAAATGGCAACTAAGTGGACCTGTGCTGACCTGCAGAAAGCAGAGCTCTATGGAGATGTAGCTAGGAGACCTTCTTCTAGTAATCTGCCTATACTTAGGAAAACAGTAGGCCTTGAACTTGGAGAAACAAGAGGACATGATGGGTCTCTCTTGCCTTATTAGTATAACTTGGTGATTTTAATCATGTCAAATTGCTCTCTGGAGTCATTATTGATCATGAATTTCACATGCTCACAAGTTTTGATTCTTTGGGGTTTAAATTTACTTCAACACTCCTCTGTGGTTTTTTCTCCTGTCCTTTTTCTTGGTTCCATAAATCCGTCTTCTTTCTCAGTAGCCACTCTCATTCTACTTTCTGTTGCTGCCCTCAAAATGGTGAGATTTGATGAGTAAGAATTTGACACTTGACAAGTGATTTTGCAGAATGTATAAAATCATTGTTGTATATTTCTAAATGTATTCCTCCCTCCATGCCTCCCACACCTCCCTCCCACCTCACACACATATACAACACTTACTAACTGGGTAACAACCCATCAGTCTTATCTGTGTACTGATGACTGTAAACCTTAGGGAAGAAAGTTTGTCTTTTGGAGAACAGACTTGAGAGTTATTGTGACATTTACTCAGGGTCAAGTGCCCTTCAGGCTCCTGGGTCTACCCTGATACTTTTTCTTTTTTGCTAGGGATGAACTTTGTTATCAAGATACCCAGATCCCTGGAGAGAGTGGCCTCACTTACTGCAAACTCAGCACTGCATTGGGAACTACTGGCCACTATAGTTTCTTCTTAACTTTGTCATGATAAGAATGATATTAACCACAAGTCCATAGTAGACCATAATTCCCTGAATGGAAGTTTGTTGGTAATGCCTTGCACAACCTTGCAGTTGCTCATTTTAATTTCACAGAAATTCAGCCTTGTCCTTCGAGTTGTCTGAACCCCCCTCTGGCTGCATCAGCTTCTCATTTGCTTTGTGTTACCTGTCTTGCTGTTGTACTAGTGAGGATTTATAGACTAGAAAACTGAAGAATAACTTAACGACACCAGATCTTGGCCCTGTTATATCATTAGGCTATATTACCAAGAAAACATTCTTGCGCTACTTGAAGAATTGAGCTGTTTTTGGTTTTGGTGGAGGGAGGAGGGAAAAGTACATCCTAAATAGTTCAAGAATTTAGTCCATTCTTATGACATTGTAGCTATCATTGGGTATGATCATCCTTACTCGATTTTAATATTTTATACAGTGATTATTTTATGTCGGTCACACAGAAAAAAAATCTTAGCATTTAGTTACATTTTCTCTGGAACAAATTATAAGAGAGTTTATTTTAATATTTTTTGTTTCACAAGCATAAGAAACAACACTGCCATCTTTAAGATTCCTCCTGATCACCATGTATCTTAGGGGTTTTAATATATTAGTTAAAATTTAACTCATATACTAATATTATATACAATATAACTAATATATAGACTGTAACTAATATGTTAGTTAAAGCATATATATATATGTAACTGACAGTTAATATAGCCTCAAATCTGCCATAAAAATTATATCCACCTTTGTAAGATGACTTATCCACCCTTTTCCTCTCAACTAATGGACAAGACAGCATATCAGCAAGGGGTTTCTTGTTCTTTTAGATGAAGTGATGCTGATCTAATATTTAAAGATTTTATTTGTTATATAGTCATATATTTTTCTTTGTAGTGTTGTGACTTCACAATCCTTTTCTTGAAACCCAGTCCCTTTAAAATAAGACCTAAAAGAAATTCACCTTTCCATTTTACTCTTTTAAGTTATTCATAAGGCCAAATTTTACTTAGAAAAAAAAAACTGCTGCACAAGATGTTCACCTGAAATTACAGCTAGTTGCCTGTAGCTTAAAAAAGAAAACACTGTAGATTTACTATATAACTTTTAATCCTTTTGCATTTTAATGCTAATTTTGAGAATTATTAGTGAAAAAATATATATGCCCAGTCATGCCCAATTAATAAACAATAAAGAAGTAAGCTCATGCAAATTGATGCCAAATGATATATTTCAGCTTTTATGAATGTACATAAGGAGTTAATAATGTCTTTGATTTTTTTTTCTTCTTGCTGAAAAAGAAAAAAATAAAGGTCTGGTAGATTAGCAGTGAGAGATTGTTTGGGAAGAAATGAAGCAAAACTGAAATAAAACAGTGCAAGCTTGTTTCTATTTGGAGGCCACACACATTGCCAGTCCAGCACACATTTCGTGAAGATCTCTTAGAAAAGAAAATTTCTTGTTTAATTTTGGAGTAATTTATAATAGATTATGTATGTTTTACTCTGTGTACTGTAGCATAAGCACCATTATTTAAAAATGTGAAGAAACTTAAAAAGGCCAGAAAATAAGATCTTTTCTTCTAGTATCAAAAAGTATGAAAAGTTTTATTTAAAAAAACAATCTTAATGTAAAAAATATTGCATATTTTTGTCAGATAATTACTTCAAAAAAGCCATATTATTTTTTTAATAAATACAAAATCCAAATCTGAATATTTTAGTGATTTTATTCTTTACACATAGAGCTATTCTTTTTTGAGTATATTATTTTGTGTTTATATATATATTTTTAATGGTAAGAGATACAAGGATTTTCTTTTTCTCACTCAGATCTGGTTAGTGTTTTGAAGGATATTAAGCTACCACTAAGCTACCACATTTTTTATTATTTTATTTTAAAAGAATATAATCTAATGTTTCTGATCAAAGGTTTTAACAAAACATTTTCAGCAATTTATTTACTCTAATTTTCCATTTAATGAATGGATCTGTCTTGATTAAGAAAAATAGGGGCTGCAGGCATCATACCAACTGACTCTATTTTTATGCTCTTTTATTTATTGCTTGCAAAGGGGAATGTGGGGTGATGATTGCACTGAGGACTTCTTTAACTCCCAACACACCAGTGAAGCTTGTCTTCTTTTATGTTTCTTCTAAATTTGTTCAATTTTTATGAATTTACTTTTTCTTTTTTAACATGTGTACTCAATCCCACTTGTTCAAATGGCACATACTTTTGATTCTTGTTAGTAAAATTATATCCAAAGATTAAAGAAGACTGGAGTCTAGTATGCAAGCATTATAATCACTTTGTAACCTCAACTCTGTGTTTCCTTAATAGTGATTTGTAAATGACTTGTCCAGAGTTAAGTCAGTGCCCAGTCTGTGTGCGCTGTAGAGGGGTGTATGGTTTCTGTGGGGAAAGTTTAGGACACTTGATGCCTGAGGTGCCATTAAGGAATGCATGACTGATTGCCAAAGTAGTTATTAATTATGCAGGATACAGAGAACAAAGCAGCTCAGTGAATATTGAAGTCTGAGGGAGAAGGGGGGAGGGGTGTGTTTTTTTCCGTCCCTTCTGGCATATGCCAGTAGGGTATTTCACTGTTAATGTCATGTCTTAACTGAAGGCTAAACTTCCTTTTATGTTCAGGTTAAGGACAGTTCTAACAGGTTTCCAAGCAAGATATCAAATTCATTGCTTCACTTTTAAGGGAAAAAACTGTCAGAATGTACTCAAGATTTTTAAAAATTATAAGCCTCATGACAAACCACTACATTCCTGTATTATTATTAAACTGATTTTAACAAGTAAAAAATTAGGCTTAAACTACAAAATAAAATTTGTATTTATGTTATGAGAGAATTAAGAGAAAAATCTAAACTTAGAATTTTGTGTAGAAAATGCAAGAGGTATTTTAAAAGTACTGTATATCTACACTATATTCTAAAACAATTTTTAAACAAATAGATTTTTATTTTAACATGCAATGTTTTGGGATATTTGTGCAGGAAATCTTTATTGCATCAAGGAATTTATACAATTGTATACTTTTGCAATACTTTATTGCATCAAGGAATTTATACAATTGTAGAGACAAAAGTCTTACTGGATTAAGAACTGTTTAATGTATTTTTTCCTACCCAACTTTTACTGTATGGACATAGTATTCTTTTTCAGTTGAAGATCATGGTCTCTCTTCCATGTCTACTGATTCCTTTTGTTCCAGTTAATTCCTAGCTCTCTAAGAAGAAATTCCACAGACGGTATGATTTGTAGTTGGAAAGAAAAAGGCAGTTGGCACTAATGCATGAATAGTCAAAGGCAGACAGACCATTTTAAGTTGATATACAAGGGGGTTGTAAATAAGAATTCAGGCTAATTTAATGCTTGAATTTGCTTGATTCAAATTTTATATCTAAAGCCACAAAGATAGATATAAAAGTTCAAAGTTAATTTGACAACCTCAGCCCAACAGAGAGAGTTGTTTTGTAAAAAATAAGTTTGGTGCAACTTTATTAGTTTTTTTTTTTAATTACCCCATTCATTTTACTGTAGATTCAACATTTATTGAAGAATATTTGCTGAGTTATTTTAAGAAAATTCAAAGATGTGTATAGTATTATGCTGGGTCTCTGAGAACTGAGCTTGTTTTGGAGAAAACATCTATGCCCATGCAAGTGCAGTGAGTGAGTGTCATAGAAATTGCTGGCAAAGATTTTCAGAAAGAGGAGAGCCAACTGTTGAGAGCAGAAGGATGTCACAACTCTTGGATTAAATAAAAAGAATAACCAGTAAACAAAAACCCTGGTGTTAACTAGTATAAATTGGATATTAACTATATTATAGAAAACCCTCAAGAACTTAATGAAAATGTATATTATTAGATGTCAGATTATGGTTCTCTTGGTCTGCAGTGGTGCCAAGTTAATCTACATTTTCATAAAACATGCTTGTAGATTTGATATAAGACAGTCTTATGTTAAATTTGGGGGGAGACTTCTCTGGCTCTGGTGAATCCTCTCACCCTCCTGTGCTTCTGACTGTACCCGGTGCTTGTATAAATAAATAAAAAAATAAATCTTTAAAAAAAATTGG